CAACTTATTTTCACTCTCATCTATGATAGAAAATACATTGAAATTCATATAGAAAATACAAACATGATAACTGCTAAAAAAAAGGGAAGGCATCAATATTGCTTTGAACTCCTCGATATCAGTATTTTTTCCTGTAATGGAACCATCACATAAACATTATAATTAAGATTCTGGGAATATGTTTGGCACTTGGAAAGACTTATCAACTCAGTACATCAAGATACTCATCCCACCATTAAACTATATCCTTGGATATAATTTGGGGCAGGTATTCTTAACCCTTTTATTTTTCTTAATGTCATAGACCCCTTTGCCAGTCTTGTGAAACTTATATATCCATTTTCAAAATAACATTTTCAAATGAATAGGAGAAAATATATAGGATTTCAAAGAAAAAACAATTATACTGAAATACAGTATAAATTCATTTTTGTAACTTACTGTTTGTAAGTTCACATACTCCAGGTATGTAATCCCTGGCCTCATTGTCAGCCTCTTCAGGTGAGAAGAGGAGCTAAATCTTGTTCTGACTGAACACCTTGTGCCTTCCATCTCCTGCCGGGGGCATAGTTAGTCCACTGAGGGAAGAAGCCAAGGGAACACCTGGATGTCTTCCATTTGTCTCAAAGCAATAACTTCTCTCTGTGCCAGCACAAGGCCATTTCCACCTCCTGCTGCCTCTCTGACCTCCCAGTGAGGAAGCAGAGAACGTCTGGTGCAGAGAAACAACTTTACCTTTGACTTCAGGCCTTCTATTTCCTGTTGTACCTATCCCTTGAGGGAGAAAGAGAGAAGAGGAAAGTAGGTGGAGAGTGAGATTTCTTTCTTCTCCTACTGTTCATTCTACCTAATCTCTGCCTTTTAGAAGGAGGAGGAATAGTAAATTAGGGTGTCCATCTGACCATCTTACTATCTGCCTTGTATCTCATACTACACTGGCCTTCAGCCCAATCTCCAACCTCCGTTAGGAAGAGGAGGGATTCCGTCCACTCAGTGATGACCATGCTCATCGTTAGTCATACCTGTCACATCCCTATGATTCTGAATACCTATAGATCTCTGTCCGAGCCCCATTCCCCACCCCACTTGCTTCTTCTTTATTCCCATCCCACCTCAACCCTCCCTTCACAAAATTTCAAATACCACCCAGCCCTTCTACTGTGCCCTGTGGAATACCTGTTTCATAGGCAACAGAATTTAATTCTTCTTAAATATTTTCTTCTTATACTCCCTCCATCTACTATTACTGAAACATTCCTCCTATGAGATGACAGACGTTCCTGGACATCTTTTTCAAAATCAGCTGTACCTTGACTGATTCTACTTGGCTCAATGGTCAATATGATATAGTTGGAATACTTCTTGCTCTCCATTACCACTTCCAGGTTCTCCCCCTCTCTCCATCACTCAGTAACTTCTCATGCTTTGAAGTTCATGTTGTCCTTATCGACCTTTCAATCCAAATCTCAGTAGGTGACCTCCAGGTAACTCCCCTTCCTTCCTCAATGAGTTCAGTCCCTGGCTCACATTTTGCTGTTGTTATTATTTTTTCCTCCCTGACTCCTGCTTTCATACTAGGGGATGCCAATCTTCCTTCATACTAGGGAACTTCAACTATTGACTGTCCCTCAAATACCCTAGCCACTCATTTCCTCTACCTACTTCCTTCCCATGAGTTACTCCTCTACCCTACCACAACCACACACAAATGTGACCACCCTCTTGATCTTTCCATCACCTATAAATGTACCACTTTCATGTTCAAGAATTCTGAAATTATTTTATCTAACTATAAGGTATTAGATTTACATCTCTCCCTCTGCCTTCACTTAAAAAATCCTACTCTTCATACACACTGTGACCTCCAATCCCTTGAATCCTCAATTCTCTCCAAGTTCATCTCATCTGCTATAGCCACTTTGTATTCTTTTCCCCATCTTGACCTATGGTGAACCAATTCAACTGTGCACTGTCATCCTATCTTGAAACTCCAATCCCTTTATTATTACACTGATTGTGCCCTATCAAACTTCAGTCTTGGAACATACCCAAAATTTGCCACCTTTGCCCCTACACTTATGTTGCTGAACGAAGGTGCAGAAAATCCTGTAACCATTGATCCAGGACCTACTATAAATTTATGTTACATAACCTCAACTGGACCCTCAGTGCTTTCTACGTAATCTTTTACCTACCTTATCAACTCACTATTCCATTCTATGCAAGGGTTGTTCCAAGGTTTTTCATCTCTTTTCAAACATCTAATCTCTCCTCCATTGCTTTTACTAGATCGTCATCCAGGTCATACCAACTAGTGAAAAGTGTCCCCCCAGATTCTGACCTGGGCCCTCCTTTCTTCTTCCTGTATATTACCTCTCTTGGTGATTTCATCAATTCCCCTGAATTTAATTAGCATCTCTAAGGTAATGATTCTCAAATCTACCTATCCTGAGTCAACCACTCTGCTGACCTCTGATTTCTCATCTCCAACTGCCATCTTAAATTATACATACAATAAACATCTCAAACTTAACATGTCCAAACCAGAACTCATCATCTTTCCTCCCAAATCCTATCCTCCTTCCAAACTTCCCATCACTGTAGAGGACACCACCATTCTCCTAATCCATCAGGCTTACATCCTAGGTGTGGTTGTTGAATCTACACTATCTCTCACCATCTGCCCCCATGTCCAACCTATTGGCAAGGTCTTTCATTTCCCATTTGTAACATTTATCAAATATACTCCACTTTTTGGCTCCAGGAATTTTCTGTGACTATCTCTAATACTTGAAATGCTCTCCCTCCTCACTTCTACTCACTGACTTCCCTGGCTAAAATCCCACTTTCTGTAGCAAGCCTTTCCCAACCTCTTTTAATTCTAGTGACTGCCATCTGTAAATTATTTTCTATTTGTCTTTTTTTTTGTACATATCTATTTGCTTGTTGTTTCCCCCATTAGATTTTAAAATGCTTGAGGCCAGAATCTGTCTTCTGCCTCTTTTTGTATTCCCAACACAATGCCTGGAACATACTAGGCACTTAATAAATGTTTGTTGGTTGAGTGATTACTCAACTATACTATGGTTACTATGGCAAAATAAGAAAAAAAAATATACTGGAATTAGAACAAAGTTGATGAGAGACAAGAGGACAGATGTGATTTAAAATATGCACTTTTGAAGTGAAAGGGAAAAAAAGCTAATGTGGCATACTCTTAAGATTAAAAAAAAATACTAGCATCTGTGTTTTGCACAAACTCTCTTTATAACCACTTTGAATCTCAGTATAAATGGGGGGAGAGGATAAATTCTGATTTTTTTCAAAGTAGATTGACTATTCAGCAATCCTGATACATATTAAAAGCTTATAAAAGACCATTTAATTGCTCAGAAAGAATGTTGTTTGTAGGAGTCAAAAAAATATCAGAATAAGTGTAGATAGTCAACATTCAAGAAGGAATAGTCCAGAGGTTAATAACTGAGGTGAGGTAGGTGGCAACTACCTTGTAACTGAGAGACCCATAACACCTCTGTACTGTTAAAAATTCCAAGAAATTATAAATTAGATGCTATTTTTTCAAGAAAAAGTTTTTCAAGTATCACATAAGTTAGGTTCACCCTTGAACAGTCAGTTGAATCATTAGAATAATTAGTCATATAGTCTCTTTTCTTTATTGATAAATTTTAGGGAAAAACGTTTTAATGAACAGGCATTTATTGAGCACCCACAGGTCAATCCTGTGCCATGATCTAGGGAATTGTATGTGTGTGTGTGTGTATGTGTGTGCATGTGTGTATGTGTGTGCATGTGTACTTATGAGTATGTGTGTCCAGATCTGCAATTTTGTTGGTATAGGAATTCTAGGTGAGGAGACACCCCCTATGAATGTGGATTTTCACAAGTGCTGTAAAAATTACAGGCTTAGATAATTGCCTGGGTCACTGAGATGTTAAATGTCCAGGATCATATATCTTAAGTAAGACTTGAACCCAGATCTTCTTTATTTCAAATTTAGCTTTTCATCTACCATGCTATGCTTCCTATTATTGTGGAAATACTGAACAATAGAAGTCATAATCTTATATAGAAGCCTCATGCCTCTATATCAGGGGTTGGCAAACTACAACCAATAGGCAAACTTTGGCCCATCTCCTGTTTTTGTTGGCTATCAAGGTACGAGAATTTTTACAATTTTAATACAAACAGCTTACTAATTGTTTTTGTATGGCTCTTGAGTCAAGAATGGTTTTTCACATAGTGATCCAAATTTGACCTGCAGTCTGAAGTTTACCAACCCCTGCTCTATATCATGAGAACTTTATTAAAAAAAAAAAAGGAAATTGGTAGATGCTGAATGTGGTGAGCACCAAATAACAATAGAGATTGAACCAATATATTTTAACAGACAAGAAAATCTTCATTTTGGACTTAGGTGTTTTATGTGATTCAGTTCTCTGTACAATTACTAAAACAAGGAGACTGAAAGAATACCATAAGTGTCTTAGTCAATAAACATTTGACATATTTGTCAAACAGAAAAATGTCTGTCAAAATCAAGGAAATTGAGGAAAGCTCCTGTGCTTTCGATGAACAACCCAGTAGCCCTTTTGAGAGGAAATGGACAAGATTTGCTAGAGGTAGGATAAGAATATGAAATGAACCATAAGAAATAATAGTCACACATATATATGTGTATGTACATACATATTATTCATGTGTGTGTATATATATACATATATATATATTTAAGATACAATTAATAAGAGTTAGTCCTTAATTATTTAAACAAGAATTTGGAAATTAGAAAATGGAAAATGAAAACAAAAATGACATTGGCACCTACTAAGATAATTTCATCCACATTTTAATCAATATAAATTAATTACTATAACAAGGAGAATAAAAGAGCATCAAAAGTGTCTTAGTCAGCAAGCATTTGACTTAGTTGTCAGAGAGAACTGTCTATGAAAGTCAAGGAAATTAAGGAAAGCCACCTATGCTTTTTTTTTTATATGAAACAATTTGTGTGTCATCCTTGCACAGGGGCCATGCTAATCTTCTCGTATCATTCCAAATTTAGTATATGTACTGCCAAAGCAAGCTCCCACCTGCGCTTTTGATGGACATCCAAGTGGCTTTTTTGACAAGAAATGCACAAGATGTACAGGCATGGATAGTTTTGGATCTGTATCATTGGTAAAGACTCATGAATTGAAAAGCTCTCTGATACTTTTGGATATTTACATATTAAATTCAATAAACACTTTTTAAGCACATAATATATGCATTGCAAAACTCTAGTGACAAGGGGGCAGAGCCAAGATGGCAGAGTAAAAGCAGGGGCTTTCTTGAGCTGTCCCCCAAACCCTTTCAAATAGCTGTAAAAAATAGCTGTAGGGGCAGCTAGGTGGCACAGTGGATAAAGCACTATCCCTGGAGTCAGAAGGACCTGAGTTCAAATCCAAGCTCAGACACATAACACTTACTAGCTTTGTGACCTTGGGCAAGTCACTTAACCCCATTGCCTAGCCAAAAAAAATTACTCTAAACAAATTCTAGAGCAGCAGAACCCACAAAAAGACAGAGTGAAACAAATTTCCACTCCAAGACAACCTGGATGGCTGATTAGAAAGGTCTCTTGCACCAGGCTGGGAGAGAAACACAGTTCAGCTTGGGCATGAAGGGAAAGAACAGGCATCAGCTAAGCTGGAGCAGGAGTCAGAGGACTGAATCATGGTCAACTGTGGTGGTTTCCAGACTTCTCAACTGACGAACACCAAAGAGAAGTTAGAAGGTCAGTAGAAAAAGTCTGTGACTGTGGTGAGAGAGAAGCTCAGTCCCAGCTCCAGTCCTGGCACAACCCTGCTTCTGGAGCTTCCAGTCGACAGACTGAGGAGGAATCAAATGGCTGATAAGAGGGAGATTGCAGGGATATCTTTGCTGGTGCTGAGGCAGGATTCTCTTGCTTTGCCTGTGCTTGGATCTGGGTCTCAATTTTGGGTGGCAGTCCTGGGGCAAGGAGGAGCATGGAGTGGTGAACTTGTAGTGGTGATGCAGAGGGAATCTTCCTCACAGTTCCAAGGCAGAAAAGAGTTCTTGTGGTCACTCAGACCAGAGCACAGACCAGGAAAGGAATAAACACCTTGCCCTTGATCATACCACCTTGGAAGAACTGAAAATTTATGGGTCCCTAGAAGTATCTCTGAAAATAGCTGCACAAAATCCCCGAGGCTTAGGACAGTACATTCTCCACACTGGAAGCAGACTCCTACCTTAACAAAGAGTTTATAACTCAAGTAATTGGCTGGGATCATGAGCAAACTGCACAAAAAAGTCAGGCCATATAATATTTCTTTGGTGACAAAGAAGATTGAAACATACCACCAGAAGAAGACAACAAAGTCAAAGCTCCTACATCCAAAGCCTCCAAGAAAATTTGAATTGGTCCCAGGCAATGGAAGAGCTCAAAAAGGATTTTGAAAAGCAAGTAAGAGAAATAGAGGGAAAAACTGGGAAGAGAAATGAGAGTGATGCAAGAAAACCTTGAAAAACAAGTCAACAGGTCCTTTAGGAGACCCAAAAAATACTGAAGAAAGTAACACCTTAAAAAATAGCCTAACCCAGGGCAGCTAGGTGGTGCAGTGGATAGAGTACCAGCCCTGAAGTCAGGAGGACATAAGTTCAAATTCGGCTTCAGACCAAACACTTGACACTTACTAGCTGGGTAACCCTGGGCAAGTCACTTAACTTCAGTTGCCTAAAACAAACAAACAAAAAATAGCCTAACCCAAATGGCAAAAAAGGTCCAAAAAGCCAAAGAGGAGAAGAATGCCTTCAAAATCAGAATTGGCCAGAAGGAAAAGAAAGTCCAAAAGCTCACTGAAGAAAATACTTCCTTCAAAATTAGAATGGAGTAATTGGAAGTTAGTGATTTTATGAGAAATGAAGACACTGTAAAACAAAGCCAAAAGAATGAAAAAAAATAGAAGAGAATGTGAAATATCTCAATGGAAAAACAACTGACTTGGAAAATAGATCCAGGAAGATAATTTAAAAATTATTGGACCATCTGAAAGCCATGATCAAAAAAAGAGCCTGGACATCATCTTTTGAGAAATTATCAAGGAAAACTGACCTGATATTCTAGAATCAGAGGGTAAAATAGAAATTGAAAGAATCCATTGATCACCTCCTGAAAGAGATCCCCAAAGGAAAACTCCTAGGAATATTGTAGCCAAATTCCAATGTTCCCAGGTCAAGGAGAAAATACTGCAAGCAGCCAAAAAGAAACAATTCAAATATTGTGGAAACATAATCAGGATAACATAGGAATTAGCAGCTTCTACATTAATGTATCACAGGGCTTGGAATATGATATTCCAGAGGGCAAAGGAGATAGGATTACAGCCAAGAATCACTTACCCAGCAAAACTGAGTGTAATTCTTCAGGGGGAAAAATGGCTATTCAGTGAAATAGAGGACTTTCAAGCATTCTTACTGAAAAGACCAGAGCTGGGGCAGCTAGATGGCACAGTGGACAGAGCACTGGCCCTGAAGTCAGGAGGACATGAGCTCAAATCTGGCCTCAGACACATAACACTTAACACCAGCTGTGTGACCCTGGCCAAGTCACTTAACCCCAATTGCCTAAAAAAAAGAGACCAGAGCTGAATAGAAAATTTGACTTTCAAATACAAGACTCAAGCATGAAGAAGTAAATAGAAAAGAGAAATCATCAGAGACTTATTAAGGTTGAACTATTTACATACCTACATGAAAAGATGATATTTGCAACTCATGAGACCTTTGTCAGTATCAGGGTAGTTGGAGGGGAAAAATATATACGTATAGATAGATTGATAGACAGAGGGTACAGGGTGAGTTGAAGATGAATGGGTGATATTTGGAGAATAAAATTAAGGTGTGAGAGAGGATTATACTGAGAGAAGGAGAAAGGGAGAGGTAGAATAGGGTAAATTATCTCACATAGAACAGACAAGAAAAGGCTTTTACAGTGGAGGGGAAATGGGAGAAGGTGTGAGGAAATGAGTGAATCTTATTCTCACCAGATTTGGCTTAAGGAGGGAATAACATATACACTCAGTTGGGTGTGGAAAGCTATTGTACCCTATAGGAAAATAGGGAGGAAACAGATAAGAGAGTAGGGGGAGATAAAGGGGAGGGCAGATTGGGGAAGGGAGTAATCAGAAGCAAACACTTCTGAGGAGGGACAGGGTCAAAAGAGAGAATAGAATAAACAGGGGGTAGGATAAGATGAAGGGAAATATAGTTGGTTTTCCACAGCATGACTACTATGGAAGTGTTTTGCATGACTACACAAGTATAAACTGTATCGAATTGCCTGCCTTCTCAATGAGGGTGGGTGGGGAGGGAGGAAGGGAGAAAATTTGGAACCCAAAGTTTTAAAAACAAATGTTAAAAAAAATTGTTTTCACATGCAACTGGGAAATAAAATATACAGGTAATGGGGTATAGAAATCTATCCTGCCCTATAGGAAAACAGAAGAGGAAGGGGATAAGAGAAGGGGGGGAGATAGAAGGGAGGGCAGATTAGGGGAAAGAGTATTCAGAACGCATGCTGTCTTGGGTTTGGGGGAGGGACAAGATGGGGAGAAAATTTGCAACTCAGAATCTTGTGGAAGTGAATGTTGAAAAATAAAATAAATAAATTAATGAATCTTAAAGAAAAAAACAACCAAAAAACCTCCAGTGATAAAGAAAAAAAAGGAAGTGATCCTTATTCTCCAGAAGCTTACATTATCCTAGATGGAAACAAATTAAAGGAAAGTCCAAAGTATATCAATAGCAATTTTAAGAGGGAGTGAGCACTGAGTGGGTTGGTCAGGAAAGACCTTATTTAGCAGGTGGCATTTGAGCTACACTCTGAAAGAATGCCAAGGGATGCCAAGAGATGAGGAGCAGGTGCATTCCAGACATGGGAAAGCTATTAGAAAGGCTCACAGAAGGAAATTATGTGAACATAAACTCCAAATGTGAAGTAATGCACATATACAAGGAACAACTTTTAATCGGAATCTTCTATGCATTTGACTTTGTGGGGCAAGCTAACTGACCACATGAAATTGGACTTTAGATTACACATTTCATCAGATCTAAAGGCACAAAGTCTTAGTAACCTTCAATTCCATTCTTTTGGTAAGTGGATTGATTAGCTATTCAAAGAAATTTAGTGTACAGCAATTGTGTATTTTAATATCAATTAAAAAAAACCTTATATGGTATCTACTATGTGTAGGCATTGTGATGCCTAGTGAAATAAATTACTTAGCAGATAAACATATTTTTCCCCCTAGGGCAAACCTAATCTCTTTTAAAAATACATTATTGGTCAGAAAGTCACATCATCAGCACAATCACTTTCACTCTCAGAGGGTAATAAAATGTTTAAGAAAAAAACTGTAAAAGTTTGGTGTTTTTGCTCATTTGTCAAACCAAGCATAGCCAGATAGACTAGTCTGTTTTCTCACAAATGCCTCTTGAATCCAACAACTTTGGCTCAAAGATCTCTCTCTCTCTCTCTCTCTCTCTCTCTCTCTCTCTCTCTTTCTCTCTCTTTCTCTCTTTCTTTCTCTCTCTCTCTCTCTCTCTGTCTGTCTCTCTCTCTCTCTGTCTCTCTTTCTCTCTGTCTTTCTTTCATTAAAATGGTAAATTAGAGTCTTGCTTAAATTGATAATGCCAAAGTGAAAGATCAATTTTCTTTTTTGAATGAATACTTTATGACATTTACTGAAAGCAAAAAAATTAAAATAATTTAAAAGAAACAAAATGAAAGGAAATGAGACAGAAAGAAAATTCATGTTTATTCTTATGGTAAAAGACACCAAGCACTTGGAACAGATAAAGCAACTCTCAGTCAAGCCACAAAATGCCTGTGATTCACTCCCAAAATAAGAAAGTAAAGGTTGCTGCCTAAATATGATCAGTAATGGCTTTCCCTTTGACACTAAACTGGAAAGGAAAATGTATGCAATGTACTAGTTTTCCGTCCTGTGAAATCCTAATGCTATCAGAGCACTGCAAGGAATGGAAAATTGGGCCCAGAATTATAAGATAACATT